CATCAATATGTTTTCATTCGCCATACTTTCACAATGATATGTAAGGTGTATGTCTAACAAGGTGCGAAATGCTTTGTTGTGAGAGAATTCTAGTTATTGTCAAACAGCTGTGTTGATGGATGGTCAATTCAGTGGCGTTTGTAGGTTAATTAATTTCCAATTTAATAAATACATCAGAATTTTTTGTCATAATTCGAATGAAGACAAAGAAGATTTGTGATTTTTAATTCATAATGTTCAGAATAATTGGTCTCAGGTATATTGTTTCACTGTAATCTCAAAAAAATTGAAGGCCGGTTTCATTAGTTCTTAGACAACAAGAAATATTCACCCACAGATTATGTTGGACAAATCTGTTGGATTTTGTGATGTACAGTATATGAAGTTGCGTGGAATCATTGTCATGTACAATATTTCATTATTTCAAGTATACTGATGAATAAAAACCTGCAGAATGGTAAAATAGGTGTATTACATGAAACACAACCCGATCAGAATGTATGTGCCATTTTATTGATAACTCTTTGTCAAATTTATCTGATAATTGCCGTTTAAAGCTGATGAATACCATGAAGCTGGAACATTCAGGGATGACAACTGAATTTAATTACACTAAAGCACATCTGTATTAGTGACCAGTTTTCTACATAATCACAGTAAAAGTAGTTAAAAGTCAGAAATGTGCAAAATGTCTAAATGATTCAGTTTTCAGTGCTCAATAGGCCCCCTCATCTTGATTCATATATGGCTCTCTACACTGTATTCATATGGTTTATTTTAATTGTGATTTAAATCACCTTTATAAAACTATAAAACACTCTTTTGTCGTCCCATATATTTTACACTTCTGTGTATATGTGCTTTATAACTTAGTTATCTGATGAAGCTGACAAAGTGTGGCCAAAGAAACGTCATACAGACATTTCTGACAATCTGTGTTCACATACAATTAATGTAAATGTATGCAAGTGTAGCCATTACTCTATTTCACCATTTCCTGTTTTATACCGGGACTATATAGTTAATTATCGACTAAGTTCTATTTATATACTAAATCATCTAATAACCCGTTTATGTATGTAATGGATTTATACTTGGTTGTCAAGGTTGACAATATTTGGAGTAAGACAATGTGTTAATATACTATGTGTGAATGCTGTTCATTGAGAGAAAGGAAATTCATGTCTGTTATACACAGAGAAATGTAAAAACACCTTGTGTCAGACTCAGGTGATGATAAGACTTGGCCAAAATTGGCTTAAGCTCCGATCTCATTCCAGAACAAGAGGAAATTTTGCCATGATGATTTTCAATAGATTGGCTCAGTGAATTCATGTTGATTCCCAGTACATCCTGTTATTGTCAGAATGATAATTCACTTTCTTATTAAGAGATTTCTTTAAATAGATTTCCTTGTCAAAATCAGGCAGTTTGTAATTTTCAGGTAAAAAAATCGCAAAATGTTAAATGAATGTTATGATGAAATCAGTTTTATGAGGTGTGTTGTTACCCCTTAATTCCAGTGTCAGTTTTTATCATTATCAAAGTGCTGATAATTTTCTAAAGATTTCCATTGTTTCACTTTTTTGTCCATGTCTTGCAATCAATTTTCTTTGATTTTTTTAATTCTTCAGTGGTTTGGTAATAAATGATAGATTTTACAAGACAACAGTAGGACTAATACTTCGGTTTTGCGTAAATGAAAGATGGTATTGTGACACCTTAAAAGTGTAATATAGAGAAACAGTAAGGAAGTGTTACCTGTTGATGTGAAAAAAAAACCCATAACGATGCAGATTAAACTTGTTTACATTGATGCAAATATCACCTACTGATGTAAGAACAAACAATGTACAGGTAACATTAGAACAGCTGGTTTTACATCAGATACACCTAGGTCATTAAGTAATTTCTGCAGCTGTTTTAAGATACAAAATTAGGAAATACTGCAAATGTAAACATTTGATCAGTAATCTTATTTTTATGCTTGTCGCACTGGAGTTATCATGCTAGTTGTCAGTGGATTTTGTTAATACAGCAAATATTACTGATGCCCGAATCTATTATTGCGTTCATTTGCCGGAAAGTATTATACGCTAAAATTTGAGCTAAATTAAGTATATTTTTGTATAGGATTTTTAGTGGAATGCTATTTTGAGAAGTGTTTTTACATGAATTTTTTAGTTTTGTGTGAAATGTTTTTGTATTATTTTCTCTTGTTTGGTTGTGATTATAGCATTCATTCTGCAATTTTTCTCTTGTCCGATATTATGGGGTTGAAGTTTTGATTTACATTTCATCTAACATTCGTGCATCAGTGATAAGGTTATGCTGTAAAAATTAAATGCTTTTGGAAACTTTCAAGGTTTACGCCTAATATATCCCTTGGAGGGTTAAAACTTAAATGGATGTCACATAATTATACACACAATTCTTTAATTTGAAGTCTTGATTGATATATTTGCTAGTTTGTCTACAGTCGGGAAAACAATGTTTTACAATATTTCCTCTGAAATTATTTGCTTTGCCTCGTTTGCCGAAACATCCAGCGATTTTGATCAAGCCTCCCTCTTGTAACAGTCATTGTATCCTTGTGTTGTATTCCTTCAATTCTGCTTCATAAAATAATTGTAAGCCGACCATGATGGTATGCAAGGAAATGTTGATAGTAGTCTTTCAGTCAATCTTGTATTGAAACATCTGCCCATAACAATGTTCCTTATTCAGTGGGTTGACAATGCGTATCACTAGTATACTTCCCGTCCAGAATTATCTACATCTTTCATTTGTGTTGAAAATTATAACATTCCATTTTTTTATAAATATATTTTTTTTTCTTAATTTGAAAAAAAAAAAAAGACTTTTTGCAAGTGAATATTGTTTGGTCTTGATTTGATCAGCATTCTTTCAGTAACTGCGAGTGTTTTAAGAGCAGTATATACATGTTAAGATTTTGCTACCTTGAAAATCTTTAAATAGTTTAGGCTATGCAACTCTTACATAACCATGATGTGATATTCTACAGCAACTTAGATTTTTCCTAATGCAAGATTTCAGAAGGCAATTAATGGTTTCAGACTTTTGTACATCAATAATGTATTTTAGTGCCTTTGTTGTTTATGATAGGAGAATGGATCCTTCGCCTTAGATACCTATGAATTGACTTTTTGAGTTTTAGCTGCAGTGCCTTCTGTGTAGTTTGAAGTCATTGTAATATGGTATTAGGGTTGGGTGTTCAGTGGAAGGTTAGATAATTTTGGTCATTTTCTGTCAATATATTCTCACTCACTTCAGCTATTCAGACGGACACTAAGAAACAGGTTATGTGATATCTATGTGGTATGGTAGTCATATGATATAAGTAGGAGGGACAAATAGTTTGTTCTTCTACGCAATACTTATGAATAAACTTCTTTGTTCTTCCCAAATATCTTTTTTTTCTGGAACATCAACACATTTTAAACACCTCAAAGATTGTGTTATGAAGGTTTTTCTTCAGACTTCGGCACTGAAGGTTTCAAGTTTTAAGACAAATATTACAGATTTTATCACAAATGCTCCAGAAAGGAGCAAGAATTTTTTTTTTTTTTTTAAATGTTTTAACAGATTGGTTGAGAGGTTAACGGAGAGTGGTTGGATTGTGTAACTGATTTTATGTACCTTGTAATCAATGTCCATTTCTAACATCCACATGCTTCATATCATATATATCATGCGATAGATAACACCATACAATTCCAATAAAAATATTATTTTATGAAAGAAAGTCTTGTTTTACTCTATTTGTTTTCCCCAGAGTTTACATTCTTGGGATGGATATCAATTCTACAAAACTAGACCCCATTGCTTAGGAATCCAGATGTCTCTGGTCTTGTTTCATTTTCAAATATCGTAGTCAAAACAATGTTTGGATTTCAAATGAGATGTATCTGCATCAGTTGGTAGGCTATTCAAATCGCCCTACACCTTGGTCTATTTGTCTGTGAACAATTTTTGTTATTGCTATTTCTAGAGAAGTACATGATGGATATTTCTTAAATTTCATATGTAGGTTCCATTTAGTCCCTAGTTGTGCCTGATCGATTTTGGGACTGATCAGAAAAAACGAAGGCAAAGAAATGTTTAAATTTCTTATTATTAAGAGCAAACACAGACAAGAGAAGAGAAAAGAAGGGAAAAAATCTTTTAAAAGACCAAATAATGATCAAACAACAGTTGGTGACAAGATCACTCTGGGATCTTTTTTAAACATGATTTTTCCAGAATACTATTAATCAAATAATGTTTAATTTGGCTCTGTCCATCTGTTTATATGCATCTGTTTTTCCCAGACCACAGTTTCCAACATACTCAAGATAGCTAAATGAAACTAGTTTACACTTGCTTAACTAGCTGTAGTGGACTGGTTTTGTTTGAGTTTTAGAGATAAAGTATTGCTTAGTGAAAATTCCTATTGAGAACTGGTGTGCCTCTTGCATTACCAGCTGATGATTTTGTGGAAATTGACACATGAATACTCCAGTCATAAGCTCCAACATGTAAAAACCAAATAACCACCCTAGTTCCAGCTGTAAAATGTATAATGTGTGATACCGTTCTAAATCGAATAATTCTGAAATGATAAAGATTTACACAGTTTATAATCTATTTAACAGATAAATTTCCAACTCAATTTTACATGTGTCGTTACATTTTTTAAAAATTGTACCTTAAAATGCATAATATTACATAATGTACATTAACACACTCAGGCATACATTTATTGTGTAGACATGACATCCATTAGGCAGCTGACTTGTGAGAGTCTTGTTGATTAAATTTTCATTTTCCAATTTAAAATAGAAAGAAAAGTTTGAATACTTTGTAAATTAATAATACACTATGTAACAGATTTAAAAGAAATAATTCTTATTTTAAATGAAAAAAAAAATTTAAAAACTGACAATACATGTTAAATGCAATCAAGAACCCATAACGTGAAACTTCACTAAACATATTGACTAAGGACATGAAAAAGAACAGGAGCCAACTGCAGCCGTACAGCCATTGATTGTGGTACAGGCAGTGGTGTCGAGCTGTAGACAGTTGATGCAGTCGGTGTTGCCGACTCCGCCACAGAGAAATGCCCGGAGAGCACATTCCCGGGTACTGAACGCCGCCGCTCCGTCGTTCTCGTTTTCTTTCTCGCCTCGAACCACGCCCAGTTTGAATGCCACGGCGGGACTTATCACTTTAATAAAATAGAATATGTAAAATATAAACCGACAAGTATATGATATGAAAAGACTAGATCAGTCGAAACAAACCAACGTAAACATCCATGAAATGATTCAGAAATGCATCCGTTTAGCTAAGAAGTATGGTTTATATTGTTTAACGTCCTATCAACGGCAATGGTCATTTAGGGGAGCCCTCCATATGCATATGAAGCGAGTGTATGTGTCGAGTGAATGTGTTTTTGAAGACCTTGTGATAGCGCGAGTCTAAATCTAACCATTATTGCAACCATGCTGAAATATACTGCACCCAACAGGACAATCCTCTCGGTCACATACTGACAACGACAACAACGCAAAGCCGTCCTCAAGGAGGCAAGCGTACAACAAGAGAGAGGGAGTGATCCCAAATCAAGCCGCCTCTTACTAATCGTGCAAAGAGGGGCCAGCATGTACAGTACTTACGCCCTACGTGCACGGCAGAAACATGTGCAAACATGGTACTTAAGAGTAATAAAATACAGATTACTAAATGAGAGGTAATAGGATACATACAACATATTCCAAGGGTCGCTGCAGAGGAATCATAGTCATCGTCATATTGCGCGGTGGTGATCAACACTTGGACCAGCAGGACTATCACCATCAAATTCTTGGAGTGGTGCATGGTACTGTAAACACGGAAACTACCATCAGAGGGGGAAACATGTCATCACTACGACTCCTCAGTATCAAATTGTTAACATATCATCATCACTGCGACTCATCAGTATCAAATTGTTAACATATCATCATCACTGCGACTCATCAGTATCAAATTGTTAACATATCATCATCACTGCGACTCATCAGTATCAAATTGTTAACATATCATCATCACTGCGACTCATCAGTATCAAATTGTTAACATATCATCATCACTGCGACTCATCAGTATCAAATTGTTAACATATCATCATCACTGCGACTCATCAGTATCAAATTGTTAACATATCATCATCACTGCGACTCATCAGTATCAAATTGTTAACATATCATCACTGCGACTCATCAGTATCAAATTGTTAACATATCATCATCACTGCGACTCATCAGTATCAAATTGTTAACATATCATCATCACTGCGACTCATCAGTATCAAATTGTTAACATATCATCATCACTGCGACTCATCAGTATCAAATTGTTAACATATCATCATCACTGCGACTCATCAGTATCAAATTGTTAACATATCATCATCACTGCGACTCATCAGTATCAAATTGTTAACATATCATCATCACTGCGACTCATCAGTATCAAATTGTTAACATATCATCATCACTGCGACTCATCAGTATCAAATTGTTAACATATCATCATCACTGCGACTCCTCAGTATCAAATTGTTAACATATCATCATCACCGCGACTTATCAGTATCAAATTGTTAACATATCATCATCACTGCGACTCATCAGTATCAAATTGTTAACATATCATCATCACTGCGACTCATCAGTATCAAATTGTTAACATATCATCATCACTGCGACTCATCAGTATCAAATTGTTAACATATCATCATCACTGCGACTCATCAGTATCAAATTGTTAACATATCATCATCACTGCGACTCATCAGTATCAAATTGTTAACATATCATCATCACTGCGACTCATCAGTATCAAATTGTTAACATATCATCATCACTGCGACTCATCAGTATCAAATTGTTAACATATCATCATCACTGCGACTCATCAGTATCAAATTGTTAACATATCATCATCACAGTATGTTAACATATCGACTCCTCAGTATCAAATTGTTAACATATCATCACTGCGACTCATCAGTATCAAATTGTTAACATATCATCACTGCGACTTATCAGTATCAAATTGTTAACATATCATCATCACTGCGACTCCTCAGTATCAAATTGTTAACATATCATCATCACTGCGACTCCTCAGTATCAAATTGTTAACATATCATCATCACTGCGACTCCTCAGTATCAAATTGTTAACATATCATCATCACTGCGACTCATCAGTATCAAATTGTTAACATATCATCACTGCAACTCATCAGTATCAAATTGTTAACATATCATCACTGCGACTCATCAGTATCAAATTGTTAACATATCATCATCAACTCATCAGTATCAAATTGTTAACATATCATCATCACTGCGACTCATCAGTATCAAATTGTTAACATATCATCATCACTTCATCAGTATCAAATTGTTAACATATCATCATCACTGCGACTCATCAGTATCAAATTGTTAACATATCATCATCACTGCGACTCATCAGTATCAAATTGTTAACATATCATCATCACTGCGACTCCTCAGTATCAAATTGTTAACATATCATCACTGCGACTCATCAGTATCAAATTGTTAACATATCATCATCACCGCGACTCATCAGTATCAAATTGTTAACATATCATCACTCACTCAGTATCAAATTGTTAACATATCATCACTCATCAGTATCAAATTGTTAACATATCATCATCACTGCGACTCATCAGTATCAAATTGTTAACATATCATCATCACTGCGACTCATCAGTATCAAATTGTTAACATATCATCACTGCGACTCATCAGTATCAAATTGTTAACATATCATCACCGCGACTCATCAGTATCAAATTGTTAACATATCATCATCACTGCGACTCATCAGTATCAAATTGTTAACATATCATCATCACTGCGCGTATCAAATTGTTAACATATCATCATCACTGCGTATCAGTAATTGTTAACATATCATCATCACTGCGACTCATCAGTATCAAATTGTTAACATATCATCATCACTGCGACTCATCAGTATCAAATTGTTAACATATCATCATCACTGCGACTCATCAGTATCAAATTGTTAACATATCATCATCACTGCGACTCATCAGTATCAAATTGTTAACATATCATCATCACTGCGACTCATCAGTATCAAATTGTTAACATATCATCACTGCGACTCATCAGTATCAAATTGTTAACATATCATCATCACTGCGACTCATCAGTATCAAATTGTTAACATATCGTCATCACCGCGACTCATCAGTATCAAATTGTTAACATATCATCATCACTGCGACTCATCAGTATCAAATTGTTAACATATCATCATCACTGCGACTCATCAGTATCAAATTGTTAACATATCATCATCACTGCGACTCATCAGTATCAAATTGTTAACATATCATCATCACTGCGACTCATCAGTATCAAATTGTTAACATATCATCATCACTGCGACTCACAGTATATAACATATCATCACTGCGACTCATCAGTATCAAATTGTTAACATATCATCATCACTGCGACTCATCAGTATCAAATTGTTAACATATCATCACTGCGACTCCTCAGTATCAAATTGTTAACATATCATCATCACTGCAACTCATCAGTATCAAATTGTTAACATATCATCATCACTGCGACTCATCAGTATCAAATTGTTAACATATCATCATCACTGCGACTCATCAGTATCAAATTGTTAACATATCATCATCACTGCAACTCATCAGTATCAAATTGTTAACATATCATCATCACTGCGACTCCTCAGTATCAAATTGTTAACATATCATCATCACTGCGACTCATCAGTATCAAATTGTTAACATATCATCATCACTGCGACTCATCAGTATCAAATTGTTAACATATCATCATCACTGTATCGTTAACATATCATCACTCATCAGTATCAAATTGTTAACATATCATCATCACTGCGACTCATCAGTATCAAATTGTTAACATATCATCATCACTGCGACTCATCAGTATCAAATTGTTAACATATCATCACTGCGACTCATCAGTATCAAATTGTTAACATATCATCATCACTGCGACTCATCAGTATCAAATTGTTAACATATCATCATCACTGCGACTCATCAGTATCAAATTGTTAACATATCATCATCACTGCGACTCATCAGTATCAAATTGTTAACATATCATCATCACTGCGACTCATCAGTATCAAATTGTTAACATATCATCATCACTGCGACTCATCAGTATCAAATTGTTAACATATCATCATCACTGCGACTCATCAAATTGTATCAAATTGTTCAAATTGTTAACATATCATCATCACTGCGACTCATCAGTATCAAATTGTTAACATATCATCATCACTGCGACTCATCAGTATCAAATTGTTAACATATCATCATCACTGCGACTCATCAGTATCAAATTGTTAACATATCATCATCACTGCGTATCAAATTGTTAACATATCATCATCACTGCGACTCATCATCAAATTGTTAACATATCATCAAACTCATCAGTATCAAATTGTCATCATCACTGCGACTCATCAGTATCAAATTGTTAACATATCATCATCACTGCGACTCATCAGTATCAAATTGTTAACATATCATCATCACTGCGACTCATCAGTATCAAATTGTTAACATATCATCATCACTGCGACTCATCAGTATCAAATTGTTAACATATCATCATCACTGCGACTCATCAGTATCAAATTGTTAACATATCATCATTGCGACTCAACATATCATCATCACTGCGACTCATCAGTATCAAATTGTTAACATATCATCATCACTGCGACTCATCAGTATCAAATTGTTAACATATCATCACTGCGACTCATCAGTATCAAATTGTTAACATATCATCATCACTGCGACTCCTCAGTATCAAATTGTTAACATATCATCATCACTGCGACTCCTCAGTATCAAATTGTTAACATATCATCATCACTGCGACTCATCAGTATCAAATTGTTAACATATCATCACTGCGACTCCTCAGTATCAAATTGTTAACATATCATCACTGCGACTCCTCAGTATCAAATTGTTAACATATCATCACTGCGACTCATCAGTATCAAATTGTTAACATATCGTCGTCACTGCGACTCATCAGTATCAAATTGTTAACATATCATCACTGCGACTCCTCAGTATCAAATTGTTAACATATCATCACTGCGACTCATCAGTATCAAATTGTTAACATATCGTAGTATATTGGATAAAACCTTAAGGAAACTCGCGCAAAAACTTCGGTAGTTAAAGATTGTGTAGATATTCCAAAGGTGTTAAATCACCATTGTTAAGTTATTTGTAATCCTTGTGCAATTATTTAAGGTTCGTCAAAACAGGCATATTTTAATTTCATATGAGATTATCTAAAATAAGACAAAATTAAAAAGATAAACACTGAGAAGCAGTTACAAGAACAATGCTCTTTTATGCACGTAGACATTGAGACTTCAGTGATTCTCTGAAATAAACCTCGATCCAGAAATTGATCCCAAAAACACATGGCGCTGGATATTGTTCTTGTAAAATCGGCTAGAAAGTCAACTATTAAAAAAATGCTCTTTGTGTCAAAAAATATATGACCAAAATAAAATTGAATTGAACTTTCTTGAAAGATGTATTTTTATTGGGAGTTTAATCAGGAACTTGAGAATGCAGAATATTATTTCATACAACTGATCCGGTTCAATAACAGCTTGAAAATAGATAATTAATCTGTACATTTCCAGCTTTGACAAAGAAATGATATTAACAAGAAAACAGATCTTGATGACGGTAGCATAATGATTTTCCAT